GGTGCAAAATAGCGGGCGGGGGGGTGCAAAATAGCGGGCGGAATGTACCAGTAGCATGCAAATATGGAAAAATCTTGGGATGAAGTTTTGCAAACAGGGAAAACATTGGGATCAGTTCTGCAAACAGGTAGCTCTTTCTTCCGGAGTTCGCATACGTCTGTCAATGTTTCAGAAGAGCCTACCCATCTGCGCAGTTCCCGCAAAGACGCGCGCATTTGACGCGTCGTCTCTTCTCTACCAGTGTAGTCTTAATAACTCAGCTCAAAAACCAAGGTTCGCTGTATCTCTTTGTGCCTAAAAGGCTTACTTACACATACATACATACGGACCCCGGACGCAGCAACGGCAAAAAAAATCGGAGTAGAGGGGAATTGAACCCCCGACATCGTCAAGTTAGCCCGCCGTTTCCAGGGGCCCTGCAGTAACGAACACTCTACAAGTGAGATGTAAAAACATGATATTAAGGATTATGACAATACTACTGAGTTACTACCCCGTTCGGAAAACTATAGTCTCGCTTGCATATATATAGGAAAATGCGATGTCGTTAACTTTTTACGGCAACTGAGGGGAAAGGCCAGTTGACGCGTCTCTCCACCAGGGTAGTCTTAAAAACTCGGCTCAATAACCGAAGATTCGCGTATCTTTGTAAAAAAAGGTTTGCTCACATACGGTACATACAGACCACGGACTTAGCAAGGAAAAAAAATGTTGGAGTAGCAGGGGATTGAACCCTGGGCTTCTCGCATCTTCGAACCCTCTTTCACAGAGGATACTGCAAAGCGAGCACTCTACCGCTGAGTTACTACCCCTGGGTTGAAAAACTATCGATGTGGCGGTGGCACATGCCTGTAAAAGTGACTTCGTTGACTTTTACGGTATCCGAGGGAGTAGTCAGTCAGTTGTTGCAAGCCGATTACCCAGTGTCTCGGCAGCATATGTAGGTTTGGCTGTAAAACGACGTTGGTTAAACGTAGGAGCTCGGGAGGGAGGAGTGTTGTGCGAGCTGTGCGCTGGTGCATGTTTCGCCGATCGCCGAAGGCAGGAAAGCTTTGTGCCAAGCGACGTCCGGACAGTGGGATGCAGGGGTATCCAAAGGTTACACACGCACGGATTCTTTCGCACGTCCGACCTTTCCATCACCGCAATCATGACCCCAGCTCGTTCTCTTTGTATGTAGATATATAGGCAGATAGAAGTGGGAATATACAACAATACTGAAAGGAAGAAAGGAACCACAACAAACGTACGGATACGTGCATGGATACTTGAACCCATCCGACCGAGTTGGAAACGAAACCCTCCCCCCCCTCCTCCCGGAACTTCCTCCCTAGTCCCCCTCCTCGCCTACTGCTAGTAGGACCTACCTAGTCCAACTTTGACCCCGCTTCAGCGACAAACAACCCAAACTGCAGATCAAATGGATTATGCTCTATAAAATCCGGTGACGCCGACGCCGCCGACCTGCCTGTAAGAGGAGGCGGAGTGGTGGCAAACTCAAACTCGTCCAGCGAGTCAAGAAAAGCGGTGAAATCGGGCGACCATTGTAATGGAGACGACGGCGATGCGATCGCGGGTGGTGTTGTCGGGTCCGGACTTTGTATGAACGGCGTCGTTGCTTCGTTTGCCGGAGGCAATGCATCAAGTGCATCAACGTCTATGGGCTCCTCCTCATCCCCAACACCATCACCCGCATGTCCGCCTTGCTCCTCCGCCTTTTTCAACCTCTTCCATTGTTCTTTCTGCGCAAGACTTTTCCGTAAATAGAAATCCTTCACTTCCTTTGATTCACGCTTCCACATGACCGATACCACTCGGCTGACCGTGGCCCACTTGAACTTGTCCAAGCCGTGCTGGGCACGGAGTTGCCGGGTTTTGTCGGCGCGGTAGAGGATGAACTGGTTGCTGAAGCGCCGTGGTTTCTTGGGTGATTGTGGTGATTTTTTGGTGCTCGTTCCCGGTGGGCGAGGTAAGCGGGAGGTGTTGATGGCTCCGTTCCACGACCAGGTCCGGCCTGGGTCCGCCTTTGCCATCGTTGTTGGTGCGGTGGAAAGTGTCGATGCGGTGGGAAGAGACGGTTGAGACGGTTGAGGTGTAGCGCCGCTGGTGGAGGAGTCGTTGCTGTGTTCTGCTGTTGATGATGAAATGAAGTTGCGTGTAACTGGTAACGGTGAGTCCGCGGAAGCGGCGCTCGTCATGGGCTGAAATCCCAATGGAGGGGGTGACGGATACGGTTGCTGCATGGGCACGAAAAACTGGCCGTTTCCGAGGTAAAGCATTTGTTGTTGTGTCATGGGTGAAAAGTACATCATTTGCGGTGGGCAGCCATGTGCGGTATTGGCTAGAGGGTTGCCGTGGAAAGGGGAAGGGTGCAGATAAGGTGGGTAGCTGAAAGGTACGATTGGGACAGACGACCGGTAGAAGAAAGGTTGAGTGGGCAGTGAATCGCAGGGGTAAGTAATAGGGAAGGACATTTGGGACGGCGACGGCGATTGGAGTGCGTCGAATGCCGGCGACGAGGAGGACGCAGTGGAGGACACATTATTATGCCTATTCCTGTTGGATTTTTGTTCGGTTGAGACCGTCATTGTGGTTGGCGTATGCATGCAAGAAAGACGACTGGGAGGGCGAGTGGACCTTTCCGTCGCGCATGAAAAAGAGTTCCTTTTAAGACACGGTCTTTCGTTCTCTTTCCATGACTCCCCACTTCCCACGTCAGCAATCCAAAACTACGGGCCGGTATGCGTGGGTCATTTTCTGTGGTTCAGGATGGTGAGTTGCCGCAGATCCGGAGAAGACTGAATTAGTGTACCGCTGGATGATAAGGATACGCAACCCCTTTCCCAAACGATAAAAAGTCTTCAAGTACCCTCGCCTCGCCCAAAGGAAAAAAAAGGGCATCCTGTTGCCGAAACGCGAAAAAAACAAAGACAATACTTGCCCAGTTGCCTTTGCCATTGATTACAAAAGCCACCGGAACGCCACATTCCGCGCTCCCGCCCCCCACGCGAAATTGCCAACGGCTTTTTGGACCAACGAACGTCTTGAACGTCGCCTGTTCGCCAATGACTAAACTGCCACATCCTTTCCCTGCGATGGTTGGGGATGGTTGCGATGGGACGCAACTTTCCGCGTCGTGGTGGCCCAAAGTTTGGGGAACTGCCACCGTGTGCCCACTCTGCAGTAAAACGTTAATTTAATCGGTTAATCGCCAGTCCCCGATCTGTTCTGCATCTTCCCCCGCACGTCCTTTCGGCCACCGAATCAATTGGTTCGTTCGGCGGGTAACGCCTGCACGCATGAGAGCCTCCACCGTGGTGTCCGGGCACATAATTCGACAGTTACAGGCCCTTTCGGCCACCCAATCAATTGGGTTCGGCGGGTGACGCCTGGAGGCTCTAGATTGAGTTCGGCGAGTAATGCCTGCACGAGAGCCTCCACTGTGGTCACTGGGCACATCCCCGGAATAACCATCAGACCTAGATACTTATGTGATGCACGCACAGTTGCACTTCCTCGGGTATCCGAACGGTGTTGCTGGGTGTGCGCCATTTTGTCCTCTGTCTTTCTTTTGGGG